TTTTTTGTTTATAGCGTGAAAAATAAAAAGCGCACAGGTGATCAAATACCACTGAAAGAAAGCTCTATTTGTGTGAAAAAAAAGGACGTAAATTTCGTTTGGGTGCAGCATTGCATGACCGCGCAATTATCAGTTGAATTAGTGCAGCGCCGATTAGCAAAAAGAGGCGTGGTCATTAGGGGGGTAAATCCTCAGGAGCTCAAGTGGTTAATTACTATTTTTTTTAATACTTTAATCAGAATAGTACAATGTTGCCTAGTAATACGGTACTACTGTGGGGAACTGTCATGAATGAGTTATGTTTTGACAGCTCAGGATAGTGATCTGTGATTGGCTGGTGCTGGTCACATGGTACAGGGTGCTATGATTTGGCCCCATGTGCCATGTGACAGCTGTGGGCCAATCACTGCTCACTAGGAAGAGGCGCAGAGCTGTTTTGAATGAGACGGATTCATAACAGCTTTGCTTACATTGTGATCATGTGATCGCATGTGGACCCGTTCACCAGGATCTTCATTCCGCTGTGTCCGCTGGACACAGCAGGCGCAAGGGGGGAGCGCTGCGTGCGCCCCTGTCTTAGTACAGCCAGAGCAGCATACAGGTACATTGCTTTGCCTGTAGCTGCCACCGTGCCGCAGTACATTGCGGGCGGGAAGTGGTTAAGGTTTGAACAAATTACACAGATTTAGCCATTATACACACATCTTTATGAGTAAATCATCCCTACCTCACATTTTCCTTCTATTTTCGTTTGTTGATGAAAATGGAATTGATTTTCGCCAAAGTTTTTTTCAACTGATGAAAAAGTTGGGTAATTTTTGTTTCGTTTTCATCACTGAAAAAAATGCCGCTGCCGAAAATTATGGCGAAAATGTTTTCGCTGACAAAATGAACACTGTAACTTATGCTTGTGTTTGCATTCGCATGTATATACAGGGAGGATGGATGGGGGTGTTTACATTTTTTAAATATCTATTAGCCCCTCCAATATCTCCCTTGCCCTCCAACACAGCTAATCAAGCACATATAGCGATTGATTAGCTGCTTCACTGGCTGTAGCAGCTTGGGAATGACAGCTCTGACACCGAAAGTGACAAAATCACTATCACTTCCAGCTTCTTTAGCAAACGACGAGATCAAGGAATGAATGGGCCTGTTAAACCACTTGCATCTAGGATGGTTTTTATTCGATTTCCAGCCTGAAGTTTGCATGTTCTCCCTGTGCCTGCGTGGGTTTCCTCCGGGTACTCCGGTTTCCTCCTACATGCCAAAAGACATGCTGGTAGGTGAATTGTCTCCCGTCTAAATTGACCCTAGTATGTGTATGTATGAATGTGAGCTGGGGACCTTAGATTGTAAGCTCCCAGAGGGTTGAGACTAATGTGAATATATATATATGCGTGTGTGTGTGTAAAGTGCTGCATAAATTGATGTTGCTATATAAGTCCCTGTAATAAATAAATATGTACTATAGACAAGCAAGTGGTTAAAGAGGAATTTCACTCCTCCAACCTATTCCCTCCCCATTAACTTTATAGCCAAGTTACAGCCAAAAAGATAGGACCCTCAACAATCCAGCCGTATTCTCTAGGAATCTGCAGCAGCATGCCCAGCCCCATGCGGCCATCTTCTTCTGATGTCCTCAGGAGGGTGTGTGTGTCTTTTCTGGGTTCTTACAGCCAGCCCTGTGATGACACGCATGATTCCTGACATGCCATCAGGGGACTGACTGCAAAAACCGGAAAGAGACAGTCAGACCTCCTGATGATGAAGCACGTGCGCCGTAGAGAACCCCACAGCCTCCTGGGATGCGCGACATGGATATCCCAGGAGGCTGCAGAAAACCAATAGTCGTTCTTGCCTAGGCAAGAAAAAAGTGTGGGGTAATGTCCCTGAAAAAAAGTAAAAAAAATCCTATTGTGTGAGAGGAAGGAAGTAGGACAACAAAGGGAGAAAGGGGAGGGTAAAGGTCCATCCATGCATATAATATGATATACAGTACTGTATTAAAGTAGAGCTGAAGGCACAACTGTTTGTTCCATTTTGAATTTGGATTTTGGAGTGGGGGGGTTATATCAACTGCCAGGTTTTTGTTTTGCCATCTGTGTCCAAATTGGGTCCCTCAGCCACAACAGGAAGTGAGAGGAAATCTCTCCAAAGTGAGGGAATCCCTGGTTGTCACCAGAGCTAGTGTCTGCATTGGAAGATGTCCCCTTTATTCCTGTTCTGATGGCTTCTCGAAATTTGGGATTTTCCTTCGCTTTTGGCGATGACGGTTTCCAGGACAAAAAGAGGGAATCCTTAGTTGTCACCAGAATTAGCATCTGTATTGGAAGATTTCCCCTCTATTTCCTCTGTTTACTCTTGTACCGAATTGTATTGTAACTGTAATGTCTACCTTCATTTTGTAAAGCATTGCGCAAACTGTTGAAGCTATATAAATCCTGTATAATAATAATATTCCTGTTCTGATGGCTTCTCGGAATTTGGGATTTTCTTTTGCTTTTGGCAATGACGGTTTCCAGGACAAATTGAGGGAATCCCTGGCTGTCACCAGAACTAGCATCCACATTAGAAGATTTCCGCTCTATTCCTGTTCTGATGGCTTCTCGAAATTTCAGATTTTCTTTTGCTTTTGGCGATGACGGTTTCCAGGACAAATAGAGGGAATCCCTGGTTGTCACCAGAACTAGCATCTGCATTGGAAGATTTCCCCTCTATTCCTGTTCTGATGGCTTCTCGAAATTTCAGATTTTCTTTTGCTTTTGGCAATGACGGTTTCCAGGACAAATAGAGGGAATCCCTGGTTGTCACCAGAACTAGCATCCACATTAGAAGATTTCCCCTCTATTCCTGCTCTGATGGCTTCTCGAAATTTCAGATTTTCTTTCGCTTTTGGCGATGACAGTTTCCAGGACAGATAGAGGGAATCCCTGGTTGTCACCAGAATTAGCATCTGCATTGGAAGATTTCCCTTCTATTCCTGTTCTGATGACTTCTCGAAATTTCAGATTTTCTTTCGCTTTTGGCGATGACGGTTTCAAGAACAAATAGAGAGGGAGAATTCCCCTAATGGAATTGCAGACACCAATGAAAAACCTGACCGGTATACAAATACCTCTCCACTCTATCCGAAACTGAAAAAAAAAGTTTGCCTTTAGTTATACTTTTAGCCTGAATATTTGAATTCTTTCCTAGTCCTAAAATGTCCTCTTTAAGAAAGTGCCTTTTGTGGTGGCACTATTTAGGATCCAAGTTTATAGTCAGATAATCGATAATCTGTGTTACACATTGAGCTGCTCTGGTTTTGGAAATGTCATCCAAACACAGGACAAAGCCCTTATTGTTCAAGCCTGAGATAATACTGCACTCAGCATCTTGGCAAGAATGAGCCTAGCATGTCTACAGAAGAACAAAACACATGGGTCTATTTACTTCAGCCCAGCAGTATCGGCAGTCAATCCAGATTTTAATGGGGTAAAAATTCAAAGATTGGTTGTAGAAAGAATGGAGGTTGTTGGCTGTGCCTGCAGAGAGGGCACGGTTGGATACATCTTCAAACAAATCGGATGAGACAGTTTTTTGAAGAAAACCACTGGACAATAATGTAAGTCGCAGATCATCACAGCAAAAAGTGGGCCACTTCATTTACTATTTCCCTGACCCTCAAGGCCCCATGACTGTTCTGCTCTGTACCCACTACTATTCCAACCATAAGATCCTGGAAGCAATTAGACTATTATACAGTAAAAGCAAGATATCTATTGGACCACTGCTGTTATTTGATATTTACACACCATCAAAAGGCCTTAAAGGGAATATATGTTTGAATATTTTTTTTAAATATATGTCCAATTGGGGTTCATAAATGTGAAGTCCGTCAAACAAATAAAAACACATCTGGCACCGTCACTAAGGTTCTAATCCACATTAGAATATGCACCTCCTGTTCTGGTGACAACTGTAAAGGTTGCATAGCAATGCGATGAACAGAAAAATTTACGAAACTGGACCTTTCAAGAGCCACCTTAATAAGATTCACATACAAAATTATTTGAATTTAGTAATTAGGTATAAATCCTCTATTTTATTTAGAATATAGAAAATTCATGAGTAAATCTTAAAATGCATTGTGTGCTTCCTTCAGTTTTACATCATCTGAATTTTTTTTCTTTTCTGGTATCAGTGGGAAAAATAGTGCCCCATTATTGGTATTGATGACAGGAATAGTGCCCCATCATTGGTGTTAGTAGGAAAAATAGTGTCCCATTATTGGTGTCAATGGGAGGAATAGTGCCCCATGATTGGTGTCAGTGGGAGGAGTAGGGCCCCAAGATTGGTGTCAGTGGGAGGAGTAGTGCCCCATCATTGGTATTAGTGGAAAGAATAGTGTCCCATCATTGGTGTCAATGGGAGAGAATAGTACCCCATCATTAGTATCAGTAGGAAGAATAGTGCCCCATCATTGGTATCAGTAAGATGAATAGGGCCCCATCATTGGTATCAGTGGGAGGAATAGTGCCCCATCATTGGTATCAGTAGGATGAATAGTGCCCTATCATTGGTATCAATGGGAGGAATAGTGCCCCATCATTGGTATCATTGGGAGGAATAGTGCCCCATCATTAGTATCAGTAGGAAGAATAGTGCCCCATCATTGGTGTCAATAGGAACAATAGTGCCCCATCATTGGTATCATTGGGAGGAATAGTGCCCCATCATTAGTATCAGTAGGAAGAATTGTGCCCCATCATTGGTGTCAATAGGAACAATAGTGCCCCATCACTGGTATCTTGACAAAATAGAGTCCCATTATTATTATCAGTGGGAGGAGTAGATTACTATTATTGGTATCAGTGGGAGGAATAGTGCCCCATTATTAGTATCATCAGTAGGAGCATCAGTGCCCCATCATTGGTATCAGTGGGAGGAATAGTGCCCCATCATTGGTATCAGTGGGAGGAATAGTGCCCCATCATTGGTATCAGTGGGAGGAATAGTGCCCCATCATTGGTATCAGTGGGAGGAATAGTGCCCCATCATTGGTATCAGTGGGAGGAATAGTGCCCCATCGTTGGTGTCAGTAGGAGGAATAGTCCCCATCTTTGCTGTCAGTGAGAGGAATTGTGCCCCATCATTTGTGTCAATAGGAAGAATAGTGCCCCATCACTAGTATCAGTGGACAAAATAGAGCCTTATTATTAGTATCAGTTGGAGGAATTGTTTAACACCAATGATATTAGTGGGAGGAATAGTTTACCATCATTGGTACCAGGGGGAGGAATAGTGCCCCATCATTGGTATCAGTGGGAGGAATAGTGCCCCATCATTGGTATCAGTGGGAGGAATAGTGCCCCATCATTGGTGTCAGTGGGAGGAATAGTGCCCCATCATTGGTATCAGTGGGAGGAATAGTGCCCCATCATTGGTATCAGTGGGAGGAATAGTGCCCCATCATTGGTATCAGTGGGAGGAATAGTGCCCCATCATTGGTCTTAGTGGGAGAAATAGTGCCCTAAGGCTGGAGAAAAGCTAGCATTCAGCCCGTGGGCTGCAATTTGGAGTCCACTGCTATACATCATACAGAAACCATTGATTAAATCTCCTAGTTGTTGGGTCAGTCAATGGGGTCAGAACAAGATTCAACACATTTCACACAAATACGGTTTCTTCAGGAAATGTGGAAGATAGATGCTTGTGTGGGATCAAACATACCCAAGTGCAACACAGTCAAATCCTTCCAACCAACACTGAGAACCTGGATGGATAAAAAAATGCAAGGGCCCTCAGAGCCAACCAATGAGCATCAATGATGTCTAACTGCCTTAGGCTGCCATTCACACTGCACATAATCGCAGTCACGCTGCACTTTGTGAATGGTCCCCCAGCCTTCTGGGATCTGTGAAGTGTGAAGATTGAGAGAGAGCGGCTGCCTGTCATATCCAGGCACCCACTGCCCCCCCCCTCCCCCAAATAATATAATCCGAATGTGGCAGAGGAGGGGAGGAGGAGGAGGAAGAGTGGAACTTCTCCTTTTGGTTGAAGTTCCTTTTTAAGGTTGTGATGCTTTAGATCATTTTTCAGAGAGAGGTTAACAAGATGCTGAGAGGCGGGATGTCACCTTCTGTTTTAATCCTGAATCGCCCATACCACCACACTGCAACCACATCCATTGATTGAATGGGTTTTATTTGGAGATGGTACTGCCCGCCGAAAGCAGCAGGGGGCATTGTTTCTGCCATAGCATGAGTACATTCCTCTCTGGCTGATGTGTTGGGTTAAGAGAGGAGGTCAGGTAATGGTATAACAGCAGCTCAACTGCCAATTTGTACGAAAAAAAAAACAAAAAACCACAGAGTTGAAAAACAACAACTTGACAATAAAACTGGTTTGACATGAAAGGCCGTTGTGTCCGCACTAGATAAGGCCAGCCTGACAGCCTGAGAATAACTAATAGTAGCCCATGGACGGGTGGTAGATAGAGGCGTGATGCTTCCACTTCCTCTGCTTGTATAGCACACGGGACTCTCCAACCTCAAAGATCTACAGGCAGCCAGTAAACATGACACTTCAACCATACTTCTAACACAGAATCTCACTTGTAAAACGATGAGCAGAAACGCCAGCTTTTATCTTCCTCCACTTTCATCACCCACACCACATTGAAAACACCCTTCCCTAGATTCTCGCAGACGGGGGGGGGGGGGGGGTGTACTTTTTATTTACAGGTCTTTACAGATATAAGTAAATTCTATTTTTTTAAAGCTATACATAATTGAGAAAAGCTTTACCACTTGTCTACCAGGGCAATTTTTGAAACTTTTTTTGCATCCATGTTAAAATCAGCATTTTTTTCTTAAAATCACTTTAACCTACCCAAACAAATATATATTTTCTGCCAGCAGAGACCCTGGGGAATAAAATGGTGGTAGTTGCAATTTTGTATGTTGTACAATATTTATGCGACTATTTATAAAGAAAATATTTTACACCCTCATCCTCTGGAACTCTCTACCCCAATCTATCAGACTATCGTCTACTCCACTGTATCTCAACCTTTTTTCAGTCAAGGCACCCTTTAAAATTATGGATAATCTCAAGGCACCCTTTAAAATTCTGCACAATCTCAAGACACCCCATCTAAAATGTAAAAAAACTATTTTACACACATCCAGTACACCCAATGTTAGAGGTGATTTATTCTTCCAAAGTAAATGGATCTTTGCACACTGGTACAGGCTAGTATTTCAGTGTGTCTCTCATTTCCTCTCCCTCACTCTAATAATGAAGAGGGCCACAAAAGGATGATGTGTAGGCACCTGACATCCTCCTTAGCAACTGATGATGTCATTTAATTGGTTGTTAGGATGCTGGCAGCTAGAAAGTCATAAAAGTGCACAATGAAAGCCCGTGGCTTTGTGTACTAAAAGGCAGGATTGATCAGCCTGCTGGCTTGTATACAATATTTGGGCATTTTACCAAGGAACCCTCGAAGAAACCTGAAGGTACCCCAGGGTGCCTGGGCACCCTGGTTGAGAAAGGCTGGCCTACTCTACCCACTTTTAGGCGACCTCTGAAAACCTCTCTCTTCAGGGAAGCCTATCCTGCCTTCAGCTAATCATGGAATCTTCTATTCCTTCTACCAGTCCATCCCCTACCGTTATTACCTTTTGTACCACTAGCCCCTCCCTCTTAGATTGTAAGCTCCAAGGAGCCTCCTATCCCTCTTGTATTGATCTGTATTGTCTCCCTTCATTTTGTAAAGCACTGAGCAAACTGTTGGCGCTATATAAATCCTGTATAATAATAATATTTTCAGGAAACAATACACTTAACCTCCCTGGCGGTATTCCCGAGTGTAGCTCGGGGTAAAGTTTCAGTACCACAAGCGGTAACCCTGACCTACACTCAGGAATACCATGCAGCGTTGCTCGGGATCTCTTCTTCACTTACCTTGTCCTGCGCTCTACCGCGATGTCCCTCCTGCAGTGTCCCCTGTAATGTCCTCCGGCCGATACTGGCATCTGTCTTCTGGGTTCCGTCCCCTGTGAGCGTCGGGACGTACGGCGGACGCAACGGCAGGAAATTAAAAAATGTAAAAAAGTGACATTCACTAAATACTCTAAAATCACATAGTATAACATTCCTGTATCAAACCATTTCACATACATTTTGTCCCGAGTGCTTTGTCCTGCGCCCTGCCTGCATTTTGTCTGTTCTTTCTGCCTGGAAACTGAGAAACGTCCATGGCGTCCAAAAAGTGTCCCTTTAGGTCAAAATCGGTTTTAGACCGGCTAGAGAACAGCGATAGTAAATTAGAACCACTTGCAGAATTGAGTGATAATGATTCGTGGGGGAAATTCTTCATCAGACACTGAAAACGATTTTGCGACTTTGCTCAGCAATGTGCGAACTTGGCGCTATATTTCAAATTTCAGTGTTTTTGGTTTGATTATATTATTGAATTAAATTTATTATTATATTATTATTTATTAAATTATAATTTATGATTTCGGGTTTCAAATTTTATCATACCCGGGATGTTTACTAGACTCTTGTTCGGACAGATTTCAGTGAGTTATTCCTAAAAATTACAGGCCTACAATAAAAAAAAAATACATATTTCCATGCAAAAAAATGTACTGCTTTGAGCGCAGAAATACTGACATAATCAGACCGCTAGGGAGGCTACGTTAAAGGGTTGGAGGCTTTTTACCGTAATGCATTCTATGCTCCTGCATTCAGCTCCCCATAGCCCCCCTTAGGCTACATGTACACTTAAGCTCCCTTGGACACCAAGCTCTCCTGGCCCCTAAAAAACTCTAAAAGCAGCAAAAACGCATGTGAACGCGGTACTGCGTTTAGAGCTTGGGCATTTATTCATTTAATTTCCTTTAGATTGTAAGCTCCAAGAGCAGGGCCCTCCTATTCCTTCTATACAGTATTAATCTGTATTGTAACTGTACTGTCCCCCTTCACATTGTACAGCGCTGTGCAAACTGTTGGCGCTATATAAATCCTGTATAATAATAATAATTGCCCAGAGTACTGGCCACTGAAATGAATAAACGTTCAAGCACTAAATGATGCAAGCACGTAGGCGCGTTTACACGCATTTTTGCTGCGTTTTGTGGCCAAAACATTCCTCTCCTGAACGCGATTCTTCTGCATTCAGGAGAGGGACATTTAACTGCCCCAAAACATTGCTG